CTCTCAGTCAGGCTCGATTCAAGCCGGCACTGAGGGAGCATTTGTTTGACCGCGAGCGAGCCACTTAGCTGTCCTAGTTAGCACACGTGATGAGGGTGAATGTGTGAATGATTGCGGTGACTGTTGTCATATCCCATTCGATTTGTATATGCACAACGACTTGGACATAGAATAGCCGTGTTTCCACGGACATGTCTGTAATGTGAAATAAATAAATAAATAAACACGGCTGCGGCCGCCGCCACGGCACAGCTCACCTGCTGTTGAAGTCGCCGCTCGCCCGCCGCTCCTCTCCGGAGATCGAAATAAATAGAAGCTACAGGCCGAGGAAAAGGTGAAAAATTTACACTGGAGCGGATCTCTTTGATGACATTAAAAAGTTTTGAAAATTTAGCGCCACTGCCATACCGTCACTGCTGTTGAGATCGCTACCGTAAATTAGAATGTCATGTTGCTGCTTTGCAGAGAGTCGTCTAAAGTCTGTTTGTAATGTTTGTGATAGATTATCAAATAGATCGTCACGTTCGGATGTATATTTTGAGCAATCAAGTCAAGGGTGTCAACCCTAAGTCAAGGGTGTTCAAGCTGTTTTGCAAAAGCAGCGCTTCTGGGAGGCCCATATCTAAGCAACCGCTCAGGCGATTGTCTTGCAGCATTTTTTGTAAGGTAGCTGCATCCCCTCTGCCAAACGTCGGATACTCTTGATCCATGTGAGTGACGTGTAGAATGCAAAAAGAGGGGTGTCAAATGTGTTCCCATTACAATAACTCGGCAATTACTGGGGCGATTTCAATGAAACTGGGCATGCAGGTAGGCATCCATTAGACAATGCATCCCTATCTGTAGCGGTTAGGGTGCTACTGCACGTGCGCACGTGCAGGGGGCGATTCCATATCTCGAGAACGGCTGGGCCTATTGCGCTCAAATTTGGTACGCGATTGGGGACAGGTTAGTAGTGCGCAGTGCAAAAGTCAGATGGGACCCAGTTTGCACGTGCGCACGTGCAGGGTGACGCTTCCAGATCTAAAGAATGGCTGGGCCGATTGCGCTCAAATTTGGCAGAATGCTATAATAGACATTAGACAGGTTAGAAGGGTGCAGCCGTGCAAAAGCCAGTTGGAAACACCCTCTCGCACTTCTGCACGTGCGGGGCTCGCTCGCTCGTCTTCGCCCAAAAGGCGTTTCACGGGTTTTACTGGTAATAAATGGGGTCATCCAACTATAAGTTGGGTGTGAGTCCACCAATGCTCCCCTCCGCCCCCACCCTCACCTCCCCGCCTCAACACTGCCGCTGGGGCCGCAGTGCTTAGGATGGGTAGCTCGGTACTCACCGACACTGGCGAGGAGAGACAGGCGATAACGGAAAAGCCGTGACCGTACTCGGGAACGGAGTTCGTCGAAGTCATTCCAGCTTCAGAGTTGAGGCTTTCATCGCCGCTCATCGTCAGAACGGTTATGAAGGAAGAGAAGAGCTGTGGGAAATTGTAACTCGTCAGCAACGCCGTGGGATTACGCTAGCTAGTCTGGTATCGCCGTCACCTGTGGGATTTAGTAAGTAAGCTCGGTTGTGGCTTAGGCTTGGCTTCTTCATGCTTGAGTTGTGATTCTAATGCCTACTCTAATGGCGTGTTAGGTGTTACCTGGGACGCCAGCCGGGATATTCAGGGTCCACGCCCATAGGCGCGGGAGCCGGGGGGGGGGGGGGCAGTGGGGGCAGCTTGCCCCCCCCCCCCCAACTCTGGGGCCGTGGGGGCGGTGCCCCCACAGCTTTGAGACGGAATACCACACTTTTTTGCAATGTTTTCTTTTTTTGTTGAAAAAGCCGAGGGGTGAAAAATAAGTGGCCTAAAACCGGTGAGAAAACTAGATTTGGGGGTACCCTAGGTTGATCTCTATTATGGTGTGCCCCCCCCCCCCCCCAGTCGGAAAGTAGTTCCCGCGCCCCTGTCCACGCCCATCTACAACGTAATGGCCAACAATATGCATCATGCATGTGCGACGGTGGCGAAAAAATACGGGGATGTTACTGACGGCGGCATTAGTAGAATACCCTGACGGCCACATTCAGAACGCTAACACCCCAAGTAATTCATTCACAAGCCAGAAAAAAAAAACTATACAGCCCGCATAACAACGAAGTCCCAACTGTCAACCGAGCACTCTCGCTCGCCGTTCTTCCTAAATCGAAAGTGAAATGAAGCTTCATAAGAGCGCGCCAAGGCTGAAGGCTGCCTCGGAATCGATAATCGAGCCCAAATGCCTATATGTAAAGGCAATGTATATAATATAGGTACCTACCTCCAGACCAGAACGTGCTCCGAAACAAGGCCTCCGAAAAGCAGGAACCACTGAGAGACCTTGTTTATTGGTATCTTGGAGAGACCTCACGTGCATCGCAAGGTCAAGGCCGATTCAAGGGTCAAGGCCAACACTTAAATTTTAGGAAAATGTTTGAATGAGTTCGGATGATGCCGAATTACATTAATATTTTTCAATATATGTATTAACTTTAATATCTAGTTATTTTTAATGTTTTTTTTATTAAATTGATTCACAAGCATAGTTTAAAACCTAAAACACCAAAATAAATGTATAACATTTTATTATACGTCATCAAATAAAATCAGCTGATGCCTTCACTTTTTCTTCACTTTTTCGCAACTGAGCCGTTTTCGTCGACATCGTTCTTCGCTGCGCTGTGCTGAAAGTTTGCGGGCGCTTTGGTGAAAAATTAATTAAAAATATGATTTCTCCGGCATTCAGGAATCTCGCCCGTCCCGCAGGTTTGTTTTGATTTTGAAATGATACATTTGTCAGTTCTTTATGAGTCTGTTACTGATGTAATTGCCTGGTTCGTCAATGTGCTTTTTGTATTTATTTTCAGAGAATTCCCAAGTAAATTAACCTTAATCACTTTAAGGTAATTTTAAAGGAGTTCCTTTGAGTCATTCCCTCTTATATGTTGAACTTTAAAACCTTAGATTTAGTTACATTTAGGTATGTGCTACTACAAGCACAACATTTTTCCGAGTGCTTCGTAGTGCTGCTAGTTTTATTGTTTTGTACCTATGTGCTGTATCCTGTTAAGCTTAGAGAGATTTATTTGATTATAAGATGTATTGTATTTTTGTAAATTTACATGAAATTTCCATGATCATCATGTCATCATCAGTCAATGCCCTGAAATTTTTGTATTGCAACATAATATTTATCAAAGGTGTTTAGTACCTATGAATGGATAAATGGGTGGCTGTGGGCCAGGGGGCCCCACTAGGCAGTGCTCGTCATGAATGGTATCATGGAATCATCACCTGACCTTGCTTTCGCCTGTTCACCTGTGATACTTTTAACAGTTTGAATAATTTGAGTGAGGTAGGTAGGTAGGTAATAAATAGGTACATTGTTACTGTGCTTTCATATGGTGATGGAACTAATAATAAATTTTCTTCTATAATTAGTTGATATAAGTTTTGAAACTAAGTTGTTAGTAATCCATTCTTTTCTAGGTTTGTTGAATAGCAAAAGTTGCATTCCTATTAATGAATCAAATCCAATGACACCAATTTGTCTTTTCCTTGATGGATCACTAAATGCAACAATGATATGACTTGGACAAGAAATGATGATCAACAACTTTGCTGGTGTATCCTTGCCCTAATTTTATCATTATATGACTTTCTAAATCCAATTGGAAAACAAATTATGACTGATGTCCAATAGGTGATGTTTACTGATGATGAAACATCATATGATAAAGAAATATGATAATTAAGCACCTGAAATTGAGATGTAGGTTCAGGTGTACATTTCCTGCCATTGTACTGTCAATGGCATGCTGGTATTCCATTCAGAAAGCTGTGCTGACACCCTGGCTACCCACCCTCTGGGAGTGGTAGCCAGGGTGAATGCTACATCTCAGCTTATGATTTGATGATGTCTAATGTAGTAATGTGGCTGTGATGGGAAAGGTCATATCTGGTTAGATACATAGTAGGTATTTTTGAAACAAATACAGTTCTGACCATGGGTAAGTACCATATGCGTGTTGACGTGTAGAATGTCTATGGGCCTGACAAATGGCGCGCGTGTATGTTTAGTAGTTGCCTACCCGACCATTGACGCTCAGATTCCCCCGTTTGTGTCCCGCAGTGCGGCCGCTCGTGCGCCGGTATGGAGGCGGCGAGGCCTACAAGCCTATCACCATGAACGACCTGCCGGTGCCCAAGGGCTCCTGGCAGGAGGCCTACAACGCCAAGCAGAAGAACTACAACACCATGCTTATGCTCGGAGTGGCAACCTTCGGCGGCACGCTTTTCGCGGTGAGTGACAGCCGAGTTCAGTCAAATTTATGACTGTCCGGTAGAATGACGGTTCCGACATGCTCGTTCAGGGCTGGATGGTTAAGGTACTAATACAATGTTGTGCGGAAAGGTCTCAATGGTTTCAAAGGAACATTGTAGATCATGTCATTCACTTGAGATCACGAGGATAACACGTTATTTTCATATGTGATTTCGCTGGTCAGATTTGTGGAAACATTTCATTATAGTGGATCGCCTATGGCAATCAACACGGCCCAGTCTGTCGTTTCTAATTGTCATTGAAGCTGACGGCGTGGTTGTCTGTGTTCCCAGGCGTACCAGTCTGGCCTGGTGGTACTAAACACCACCCCCGACCTGAAGAAGATGAACATCAAGTGAGACTGGGTGACGGCGCGTGGGTCGGGCGTTGGGTAGGCGCAGCGTGGCAGACCAGCGACCAGTGTGTACTGTGTGTGTAATGTCAATATATCGCGACGAACCGGACTCTGTGGCTTTCTGTGGTTCATTGCGAGCAGTGAGCGGGGCGGGTTCTGGATGCCACAAGCTGAAACGCGGCTGGACACGTGCTATCTTTCACGATGTAGATGTCGGTGGCGAAGGCAATTAAACCATCACGCTCCCAATCCCCTCATTCTTCACAATCGCGTCAACACGTGCCGTTACCACGAAACATTCACATGAAGTAAAGCTTCGCAGGAACATTTATATTGATTGCATTATAATGACACATAACGCGAGTGTCAATGGCATGCTGGGCCACCAGGTGTCCGGCCAACCGATGGATATCCGCGCAGGTCGCTCTATAAAATAATATACAAAAATAACATATCTCGATAATCATTGTGCGTAATTCATCGACGCAACTGACTAATTTCACCCAATAACAAGCTGCATGTCCGCCATGACTGTCAGCTGCTGCGAACATAACGCACCCTTTGTTCACTGAGCGATTACAGGAGGAAGGGGTTGCTTACCCGGCTCCCAGAGCCAGTGATAACAGGACGGGCGGCCGCAGAGGTGGCGCCACGGGCCCGGACCGGACCTCCGTCGGGTGGTCCCGTGCGGTCTGCCGCGGCGGCGCCAGATGACGCTAGGGTCCGACGGCGGCCCGGGCGACAACAGAGCGCGGGACGCGCGGCACGGGACGGCACAGCCGTCAGGACAGAGCGGGCAAGCGATAACAGGATATATGGATCAATAAATACGAGCTTGGTAGTATGATTATTATGGACAAGGATACACTCATTTGAGACCTCATGACGGAATATGGAAAGTGCACAAGCGGAAAACGATGCGAAAAGCACACAGATAATCAAATATAGCCCTGAAAACAATGTCACCGGTACCGATGAGAGTCTTGAGCGACAACTGACCACCGATCGTGTCCGACGGTCGCGGACGCAGCAGAAACAACAGACACTAGCCCGTTCATCGACGGCAGGCCAATGGCCCGTTCATAAACAGCGGGCACTGCCACCCAGTCCACTCTGCAATCCTGACACACAACCACGCTTCCCAGCCGACATCACAGATGTCCACACACACGCCCGGGGCGGTAACGCTAATATCACTTTGTACTCAGACGAGCCCTGCTGTCCAGGGCGCCCTGCACGCGGCGCGGTGGGTCCCACGCCGGCGGTGGACGCTCCGACACCTGCCGCGGCGTATCACAGAGACGGGCGCGCCGGCCGGCCTATCTCAGCTCAACGCCGGACGCCTCTAGAAGGATGGGCACCCGGCGGACACGACGCGCCGGCGGCGGACTGTCCGTCCCGGCCGGCCCGATGGTGACCAGAGTCGCGCCGGCCGGCGAGACCGACACCCGACTGCGCGGCCCGGAACGCTCCAGCGAGCTGGTCACTGACGAGCCCGACCAGCGCAGGGAGAGGCGAGACGAGCTACCCAGCGAACCCGACGGCGAGCGGCGGCCGGAGCCGCCGGACCCGGACACGTAGATGGAGACGGTGCCCGGCGGCGAGGTGGGCGGACTGCCCGGCTCGTCGCCGCTCAGCTGGGTCAGGCTCAGGTGGCCGGGCCGGCGCAGTCCGTTGGAGGCCGGCGTCACCGGCGCCCAGACCGGGTCTACACCGGCGTGACGCGCATGAGCCGCGCCTGTGGGACACCGGGAGAGAGTCAGGGCGGAGACACAGAGTGGGGAGCGCTGCAGGGACAGGGCGCCTGCAGTGTTGAACAGACACTGCACAACGTGAACAGACCTTCCCATTATCTCACGTAGGCGTGAGACAATCTATGTATAGATAGCTATGCGGGTTGAGTTTTACTGGCTGCTCGCCAGAGAAAATGTTGCCGGAACGGTCGAATTCACTCGCAAGGATTCCATTGGGAATGTTAGCTAACTGTATTATTATAGCTGGCTTCAACCGCTGCCGCTGAACAAAGAACATGTCACATTCTGTTATATAGTTGAAACCGTAATAAATGAAGCAACTGTTTAGATTGATGAAGTACATGGTAAAATTCGTACTGTGCGTAGCGGACGAGGTTGGCTGAATAGCGATTCAAAATAAGCGCGCTATGAGAAGAAAACAGCAGTCAAGTACAACAAAATAAAATGACCACACGCGTACAAGCCAAACGAAACCGGAATATTTAACAAAATAGGTATGTGCACTGTGCAGTCTGGCCATCTAAAAGAATCATGTAGGCGAACCCTCTTGCAACTCGATTGACCAACGAATGGAGTGAATGCACTTCCGAAGCTGGCAATCATCACAGGTCGAGCAGGCACGGACAAAACACTACCATGCTGCGATCTCCACAAAACAGCGTATGGTCAGGGTATGGGAAAAAACAAAAGCCACCAACCAAAAATTCCGTCAGTCTCATGCTCACTGGTTCCGAGCTGTAAAAGCACAAACCACTGTAACGGAGCGGCACACGGGCTGATCGGGGTAAGCCACAGACGGACGGCGGCTGGCACAGGGCAGGGAAGCGCGGCACGGCACGCACACAGACACACAGACAGCCGGGCACGCACGTGGGCGGAGGAGGCGGCGGCGGCGCGCGGCCGCGGCGGCTCAGTACCGAGCGGAGAGGCCGGTGGCGCGCGCCGGCCCGGCGGCGGCCCGCTGCCCCGGCTGCTGCTGCTCTGGTAGTGGTAGCACGCCAGTGTGGTGGGGTCACTGTACCGGTACGAAATGGACGAGTCCTGGCGGTACCAGGTGCCCGGCCGCACTGGCGGAGCGCCGCGGCGCGGTCAGAGGACAGGCGATAGTCAGAGCGCGTGAGAGGGTCACACGCGGTCGGAGGGGACAGACACAGCGCCACAACCGGCAGAGAGGCGAGGGATCCACTGCACAGCCCGCTCCTTCACTGAACTCATACTTCCTGAACGGACCTGTCCTACCATCCAAACAGGAGAACCAATAACCCTCACAGCACACGTGTGCTACTCTATGGGAAGCGGAGAACGAACCACCAAAACCAAGACGAACCAGCGGCAAAACACCGCAACCACTACCCACACCAACACAATAAGACACTGACGCCCAGACAAGCCAGATATGACAAATAGGACTCCATCGAGACAAACCCACCTCACAGCCGAACTCACCTAGCCCTACGGGAGGTCTGTTTGTGAGATCTTTTCCGCATACATCGCTGCTGTAGTAGAAACATGCGATTAAGTACTAGTTACACGGGCATTTCGACACCAGATGATTCAGACCACATGCCGCAAAACTTAGGTGTGCGTGGCTGCTATACATAAAACATGTACAATATGCATGACGCATCACATTTCCGTGCCTAAGTTATTAACAGGCAAACTCATGGCACAAAACTAGCATACAAGTGAACCAGGTTGACTCTCAAGTGCAGGCATAACCAGAAGTTGCCACCTATCAACATCCTTTGCTAAATACGCCAGTGAAACCCGTCACCGAGTGCCAAGCCGAGGTAGGTTGCACTGGCTGGCACATCGGCTTCTTCCGAGACGGCTCTGAGATCGTGCCCTCGCAGACTTACTCTGAACGGTCTGTCCCACCACCTCACACCACAATAGCACTCCACTTTCAACACCAGTCTAACTACTGACACGAAACAAACACACTGTGGAGTATCAACCGACGTTCACACAGCCCGCTGCGACTCACCTCGCCTATCGCCTCCGTCTCCGCCGCCGCTGTGCCGACCCTCGGAGCGCCGCCGCCTCTCCACGGAGGCCGCCCAGCCGTCTCCGGCGCCGGCCTCGGCTGACTTGTGCCGCGCGCTGCCGGCGGTCCGCCGTGCCCGCTGCTCGGCCTCGGCCCGTCGGTACATGCCGTCCGTGCTCCAGGGCAGCGGGTCGGCCGGGCGTACCACTCCGTTAGCGCCGTCCGAGCGCAGCAGGGGCGGCGGGGAGGCCGGGGGCGGGGACGGCGGCGGCACCGGCGCCGGGATAACGCCCACCGGTGTCGCCGGGGCGGTCGGGGACGAGGGCCGGCTCCGGATGGATACCCGGGTCGCCGGCGGTGGTGACGCCTGGTCCGCTGTCGGCGAAGAGTCTGAGTCGGCGTCGGCCAGCGGCACAGCGTTGGCGGTGGCGGGGGCGGGGGCGGCGCGGGCGGGCCGCGGCGGCAGGCCCAGCGGTCTCCGCGGTAGCTCCACGTCCGTCGGCTGGCCCGCGCGGTCCAGTTTGCCGGACCGCAGCTCGGACATACACCGCGTCAGCTCGTGAATGGCAGTGTCCTCGTCGTAGAGGAAATCCCGCGGCAGCCGCGCCTGTCCGAGCCGGGCAGGGGACACGTCAGCATCTATATAACAGCGACTTGGTGCAGCAGCCGGTTCCAAATTGCACACTGCAGACTTTGCAGCACAACTCTGCACGTATGTGGGGTGCACATGCGCATTAATATCCATCAATTGAGTCCAATGCTGCATAGCAAGCAGCGTCGTTCGCACATGGCGGACAAATAGGGCACCACACAGAATGTAATCCGATACCTCCGCTGCTACCACTGTACCCGACCGCCAGCCGACGGATCCAGCAAGGTTTTTTTTTGGGGGGGGGAAGTGATGACAAATGTTTCACTTCCAACTATGCTTTGTGATAGACATGGCGTCAATCCCTTTAAACCTTTATCCTCGCCAATCCATCTAATACCGTTATCCAATATCCATCCCCATCAGTGACTATCCAATCCATTTAAAATGCGCCACATCTCGTGTATCTCACCTGCAAAAAGTCGAGAATGTCCTCCATGGGTAGCCGAAGCAGCGTCTTCCTGTGCATCCTCATAATCATGTAGGCTCCGGCGGTGAGCACGACCTCGCCCTCGAGCAGGTAGGCGTCCCACAGGCGGAGCGCCAGTGGAAACGGCACCTGGAGCGAGCACGGGGTGCCACAAGGCACAAACGGTGTTACACGGTATTTGGTGACACAGGGAGGGGCAGATACGGGGCACGGGAAGGAGAGATGCAGGACAGGGGGCGACGCGGGAGGGAGGGATACAGGGCACAGGGACAGAGGAGGCTCAAGCACTGGGCATAAAGCGATACCGGTGGGACAAATAAGAGACACGGGGCGATCCGAGAAGGGGACATACAACGGGCACTGGTGAGAAGGGCCGGATGTAGCGGGACAAAGGGTGGATCAAACGCCGGGAACAGCGGACCACCAGTGGGTCAAACACTTGACGCCAGTGCAGGTCACGAAAGATACGTGTTTGATAGGTCACGGATTTAGCTTGATTCATGGATAAGTCGTGCGTCAAAATACGTACTAAGTGTGTCTCCTTCAGTGAGTTACGAGCCCACTGCCAACTGTATCGAGAAAATTATTGCCAGCATCTGATACGCAGGCACTAAAATAAAAACACGTGCATGCGCAAATATTGATATCCATAAGTCAGCGAAATACTTGATTAACATGCAGTGAAATCGTACCCTGTCTAGGAAACATTGAAAGAACCACTTCAGTGTGTAGATGCTGGTGTCGATGCCATGCTTGTCAAGGTGCTTCTTCAGCTTGGGCAGGTACTTCTTCATGATTTTATCATGATGTGCCTGTAGCCTGAGAAGCTTCGGAAAACCATGGATAAAGAGACCTGAAAATGGAAAATGGAAGAACCCTTTAAATTTGAATCACCAAACCAACTCACTGTCCAGACACACCGACGCAATCAAACCAAACTTATAATATAACGACAATTAATGGAAAAATAGTTAAAAATGACTCTAACCACAGTTCCAAAGAAAGCACTACAAACAGAAAAACATTGAAAGTTTCGAGTTTGTTTCGACGCTGCTCACCGTGCATCCTGTAGAGCTCGCCCGTCATTAGGACGGATAGCGCCCAGAAGGCTTGCTCCTCGTCCATGAACATGAGCAGCAGCGCGGCGATCTGAGACATGCCCTGGCAGTAGCCCAGCTCCGAGTTGTACAAAGAGTACGCCACTGACGGGAGACACAGCGCACACAGCCGATTAATGACTCATACAGTACTGACCAGAAACTACCACCGAGCCACCGCCGGGATACACCGCAGCGCATGACTTCATACGGTGATCAGAACTACTGTCGAGCCACTGCAGATAATTATCTGGAGACACCCCGGCACACCCAAATAATGACGTCATAGGAGTCCAAACTACTGTCACGCCACCAGGTAAAATAGCAGTGAGATAAACCCTCTCTCGTGGCGTGCGGCACCCGTATCTCCAAATCCTTCCTCTCATTATCTCTCGATCACGATTCGGTTTCCTTCCGTGTTCGGTCGCCACGCCCGTCTGGTCGGCGGCCCGGGCCGTACTTACCGAGCACGTGGAACAGCGCCTGCTGCTTGATGCCGTACCGCTCCCTGAACATGGTGTGGTCACGGAACGTGCGGTTCACATCCAGGTCGATCTGTCGCGCGTCCGGCGACCAGAGGCGCGCCTCGTGGCGCAGCTTGTCGTAGAGGCCGGGGTGCCGCTGCAGCTGCTGCTCCACGCGCAGCAAACGCAGCCACGCCTGGCCACGCACCCGCTGAGGGATGCCCTTGTAGATGCGGGACGCCCACTTCTGCTCGTGTCGCCGCTCGTAGTCCGGGTCCTTGAGCATGTCCAGCCACTTTTTGACACGCTCCATCTCGTGGGCGTGCTGCTTCTTCTCCTGAACGGACAGCGAGTCCGGCAGGCGGCTGTCGCTGTGGAAGGACACGACAGAGACGGCTGAGCACGTGGACGGGACACAGACCACTCGTCCCTAACCAGCAATACCAGCAGGCATGTCAGTCCGGAAGGAAACGACAGCAGCCAACAACTGGGGAGATGTACGCAAGCAAAAGAAAGTGTTACACACTATGAGCCAGCTGCTCGAACCGAGTTGGTCATCAAACCATTAGTCATAGACAACAGGTGGAAATAGTGGAGGGCACCACTAAGTCTCCAGTTCCGCAGCCCCTCCCCTTTGTCCCCATTATGTCACGTACTGTATGAAGCCGTATCGGTCTGTGACATGGTAGATCTCCAGCTTGGGGTCCTCCCAGGCGTCGATGGCGGCGCCGGGCGCGTGACCGCGGTCGTAGCGGGCCACGATGGCCGCCCGCTCGCGGTCTTCGCGTGCCTCCGCCTCCAGCGAGCTCATGGTGGCGACTGGTTCAGTGCTCCGGGCTGGGACAGCGGCTCACATTACCTGCTGGAACAGAGGGTACCCTGTGGTGACTGTGGCGACTGGTTCAGTGTTCCGGGCTGGGAAAGCGGCTCACATTACCTGCTGGAACAGAAGCTGCAGCTCTGGTCAACAGTGACACAGGGGTCAAACACACAAATGCAGCTGACATGAGCAGAAACACAGCCTCCCGTGGAGGCAATGCATATGAGGTAAACTAAATTGACCAAGCATAACAATTTGACAAATAAGCTTTCCATGCATGTACATGTCTAAGCCCAAAAGCAGATTTATCAAAAGGGAGGGTGTGATGAGGGACACTGAAAGACTATCAGAGCTATAAAAATATGGCCCAATATATATTTTGATTTGGCAATGTTCCATACAGGTTAACAAAACTCCTATAAAGTACATAACTAAGGGCCAACATTAGCTTACAAGCTGCCAACTGCCCATTTGCTAATTTCAATAAGCAAAATGTACAAGATAAATGTTCCTTTGTCTCTTTAGAATAACAAAATGAAAACAAGCTAGGTACCTACTTGTTTAACCCTATTCCTGGCGGGCTCCGCCGGGACAAGAAACTGGCGGGGGGGGGGGCGATTCGGCCCCCCCCTTCAGATCTCAAAAACTACACATCGCAGCGACAAACGGTAAACGGCATCGGATACGCACGGTCAAGATCTACAATTTTTACTAAGGTCATTTTCAGGTCAGGTCAAAGATGACGTCACAGGGGTCGAAAAAGTCAAAATGGCGGCGCTAGATATGGAGAGTTTTTCTCGAATAACTTTCGAATTAGTCAAGATAGGAACAAACTAAGGGCATCATCGTGATCCTCTCTCGTCAATCCGCATCGAATGATATATATGTTGACCTCGAAAGGTCAAGGTCAAAGGTTGACCTCAGGTCATGTGACCTCGAGGTCATCATGTATATCATTCGATGCGTCTTGACGAGCTGAACACAATGAGACCATCCACGCGTCTGTATCTTGTTCCTGTACGGAGTTATTGGCCAAAAACCTTTGGTGACCTTTGATGACGTCACATGACCTCACAGCTGCCCAACAGCAAAACAGACCTCAAGGTAGTGGAGGCTGATCGTATATGAAGTCATGTATGGTATATGGGGCCATTCCGACCCGTTTTAGTGGTAAAAACAGGGAGTTGATTTTTCCCCCATCGACTTATAATGGGGAGGTCGCGAAACTGACCTGACCTTAGGTCACCGATATCAAAATTCCGAGATATACAAATTGCACATACTGGTACCCTAACTAAAGCCTGAAGAGAAGAAATTGATCGGTCAAAAACTCTAGCTCTGGCGTGATTGCAAACTTTTCTGAGGTAGGGTCACCAAACCGCCTCTGGTGACCTGACCTGAGGTCAGATCAACTCAAAATTTTCAGACATGTTGCGTAGAAGCCTTTTAGGAAAAGTCAGAAAATTTGAGCTTCCTAGCTCAACGCGTTTGGGAGAAATAACCAAAAAACCTCGGGGGGGGGGCTCCTGAGGCCCCCCCCCCTGCCAGGAATAGGGTTAACCCTCGCCGGCCGAGGGGGGGGGGGGCGGGTGCCGCCCCCCCCATAGGGTTTTTTCGCGATAGCTCCGAACACGCTGGCGATAGAGAGCTGAAACTTGGCATACCTGACCTTTGATCCAAGCCGCATCTTTTGACACCAACCGCATTTTTGGGTCAGGTCAGGTCACTGACCTATGACGTCATAAGTGAACCTCTGCACGGTCTTCAGATGTCGCAACTTCGCAACGCCCTCACTGCCAGAGGAGATGTCACAGGGAAATGAAACTTGCAGGATCTAGTATCCATTATGAGTTCCACAACTTGTATATCTCGGATTTTTCCTAAAGGTCATATGAGGTCAGGTCATTTTCGTGACCTCACCATTATAAGTCAATGGGGAAAAATGAAAACTGCTATTCTGGCGCCGGGAACGATCTCCAACTATCTCAAGCACACAGAATCGTGATTTTATGCACTCCTTGCAAGGTTAGATGCGTCACTTTTGCAATGTTGACCTTGCGTGACGTCATTTATGACGTCATCAAGGTCATATTAGTTTTTCGTCAATAACTCTTGATCAAATTGAGCTAGCGAGTCGGGAAAGCCACCAATGGACTCAGGAAGACCTGCCGAATCGAATGATATGCGACATGACCCCTTTCGACCAACTTCGTGACCTGGGGGTGCTGACCTGACCTTGACCTGAGGTCAACACCCCAAGTTGACCTGACCCGGACAAAAAGTATATCATTCGACGCGCCTGAGCGAGACGAACACGATGCTGCCAAAATCGGCGCTCTGCGGCCGTTTTTTGCGAAGTTATTCACCAAAAACTGAACCGTACCTTGGGGCACTTGACCTGACCTCAGAGGTCACCGGTTGACCTAGGACCTTAAAATCGGGTACCAATCTCTGCGTCTCGTAACGGCGCACACGCTCGTTTTTTTCCGCGACGCGCTAGCTCCACCAGGGGCGAAACGGCGAGGGGGGGTCGTACCCGCCCCCCCCCCCCCTCGGCCGGCGCGTATGTAGAAAACCAATAGGTCCGGCGAGGGTTAAGGGGCTTACAAACTGAAACAGCTTTGATGCAAAAGTAAGCTTTATTCTTGCTTACTTCAACTTTTGGGAGCAATGCCTTATATAAAACATAGATTGGCATATACCTTCCCACTTACAGCAAGCTTGAGACAGGAACCCAACCAGGTAAGTAAACATTACTCATGCTATGAATAGCACCTACCAGTTCTAAGTGTTCAGTGATAGGCAAGTGTGAAGTGGATCACATACATATTACATAGGTATCCCCCTAGAGTTCAGTGGTATCCATTGGCAGATCCAAGGGGGCATTTGACTATTTGAGGCAAATGCAAATCAGTAGGTGGAACTATGGTCATGAGTACCCAAATATAGGAACGTTCCCATTTTTGGGAACGGAGTTCCCAAATATGGGAACGGGCGTTCCCATTTATGAGAACGGAAGGTAATTTTTCGGCCGTTCGCCCACTAAAACTCATTAGTGCATCACGTCTCAAAAAAGTGCACGCTAATTTAAGTATCTACTAAGTCTCTATAAAATTATCTTTAATCTGACCGTTGAACAAGGAAATTGACCGTCGAATGATATTTTAATGATTTTTTGAAATGACGGAATGGTGAAAACATGGGTTACACTACATTTAACATGCAATTTTAAGGAAAATGAAGCGTTTTTTACATTTTGAGGTCAAGTATAATAATTTTCGCCTGGTTATGAAGTTTCATACTAGCGACACCCGATGCTGACATATGCAAGCGAACACGCGGACAGTCCCGAGGTAATATTGTTGACATTTGGTGTCGAGGCGGACAACCGCGTACAACGTGCATGATTTTACCGAACTACTGTTGTAAACTCAGTTTAAGTGGTCGAAAATTATTCAGCTGTATTTTATCAGCCCGGAAAGACATATTTTACTTGGATGCTAGCTGTTTAGCGTTGTGTTATAAGGAGCGCCATGAGCGTGGTTTTTGTCTTCCGTGTTTCTAAGCAGGATCGTTTTGGGGGAATTTCTCTTATATAGGTCGCTCTGCGTGGCTTATTTATAATTTATATGCTGATTTCGATCATCCCTCGTGCCCATCCTACCAGGCCTTTTGCCACTTACAATCATTAAGAAAGGAAAAAACTAGATTTTCATTGGGACTAGGTGTTTTGAGGGTGTAACAAACATATTCATCGTTCCCATTTTTGGATACTTCCTTGTACTCGTCAACTATCGGTGATAAACAGACAGGTGCTTGACATGTCTCCACCCTCGGCACGGACGGTGGATATAGGTATGGAAGACCTTGTTGAACATCGCTCAGCGTTGTGAATTACGTAATCCTGCAGAGGGGGGCGTGCCCGCTGCGAGATCGACGGGAATAAAAGCGCAGAAGGCCGGGCGAAACATGCGACGGTCTTGCCGGAAAGGTCATCTGATGATTGTTGCGTTAACAATAATTTGCGGCGTTGGACGTGATGCTTGTTAATGAAAAGAGCCCCTGAAAGGCGTCGGTGAAATCGTTCCCAATTTTGGGTACGCCGTTCCCATAATAAGGAACGCTTGCAGCGCCAGTGTACGAGAGCGTTCCCAAATTTGGGCTCGCGGCCCGGATGATGGACTGCTTTAGAAATAGGGGAACGATTTGAAACTACGATGGACCTTACAATATCAAACTCTTTCCCAACAATATTGAGACAAATATCAGGCAGTTCACGATCGTTTTATATTTTTTGGACGTCATTTAACGGTTCTTTTTCTTGTTTTAAATAATGCCTACATGGCGTTCCCATATTTGGGTTTATCGTTCCCAAACATGGGAACGAAAATGCGTTCCCGAAAATGGGTACGCTTGACCATAGTTCCGCCTACTGAAATGGCCCATTGAGACAAAAGTGCCCCTCATGGCTGGTAGCACCCAAAATTGATGAAAATCTGTTTGTCTTAAACAAATGAAAACTAAACACAGTTTATTAGGCAAGATTCAATGTAACTTCCACAGCACTCAGCAGTATGTTAAGAATCAAAATCCAAGATTTTTAACAATACTTTTTCAGGGGTATGAGTGACCCCACAGCATCTGCAGACTGCAACATTCTTTCTGAATTTTGGATCTGCAACTATACATATAATCAGGCATCAGCACCTACATCAACGCACTCTAGAAAGGTGGACGTTCCAGGCCCCAGGGAGGTAAATAGAAGGTACGTATTTTGGGACCGCAAAACAAATTGCAGCACTTTTTAAAAATATTAATTCAAATTCTTCTAGCTTTTAAATTATTTGACTATGTAACACAATCTGTTGCCATAATGAAAATGTGCCCTGCGGCCTCCTCTTCCGGACAGCCACCTCTAGATAACACTTTGAGTAGAAATGTGTTAGATTAGCCTGCATATTCAAACTGCTGCCTTTCCATGTAACTTAAGGAATATTCACCTTTTGAAGTCTAAATAACTTTCTTCAAGTTTTAACCATATAATTCCGCATGATAGTTTGCCTTCACTTTTTGACACTCAAAATGCAAGCATCGTCACTTTGATATTATTTTCATTATGATGGCAAACATTAAAAAATGGTTCGACTGTTCCGAATAACAAGTGAAAGTAGGACTACAAATCTCTTCGGTTTTGAACTGTCAACCCTCCGCCCATTTTCTCTCTAACTTGAACTGCTGTGTTTAGAAATCAGAGAAATGAAGAGGAGAAATCGAATATTTCTGCGTAGATATTTGGCATAGATGCGCCATTATTGTAACATTTGATGCTTCTTATTTCCTTTCCAATAGAACCCTTCGCATAAGTGTTATTTATTTTGTTTTGTTTCTTTTTAATATGTTGGTGAGAATTGATTCTTAACTTATTGAAATTAAAAAAGTGGTAAAAAAGGCAAAGATACTCTACTTAGACAGCATAAAAAGCAAAAACACAGCAAAAGTATGAAGGAATAAGGGGAAAGGGAAAGGAGCGCCTAAAATGGTAGCAAATATGAAGCTACCAGATTGTAACTTTTATTACCCGACAAAATTGTCATAAGTTTACTTTGATTTATTTTTTCTTCAAATACTGGCTTGATTTTCATTTTTCACCGGACTTTTTTTAGCTAGAATAAGCCTAAATATATACATGTAATTGATAAAAGGCAGTTGATTCCTGTTGTATTCTTTAAAATATGTTATATTAGATATAAATGATCATTCAACGTTTCTATGGCGGACATGTCAAATAGTTCCGATATAAAATAATAAAACAGCTGATCTGTCGACGTGCAAATGAAATGCTATTTGAAAACAATCGGTGTCACTGCTCGCTTGTTTTAGAGCTTTTTGTCAGGAGGGCCCGCGTATTAGCATTGCGGGGTTATCGTAAGTATGAGCACGGAATATATAGTCCAAGGCATAGTCTGTCGTTTTGACCTTTCCGTGCTTCTATCCTCAGGATACTGAAATCCTTCTCCTCCACGCCGCAACCACTCTCCGGGCTGGACAGGCAACTTTATTTCATGCGGGCTGCTCCCTTGGAGCGGCACCGCTGCTCCTGAGGGAGAGCACCCCGTAGCCGGGTGCAGTGAGTGCCTTGGGGCTGGGTGGCCTGTCCTCTGGAAGGGCTCAGCCCCGGCGACTCACTAGGGTGCCTGCCCAGACCAATGTCTCCCCCTAATTCCTATCATCCTTCCGGCTCTGCAATGGTCTTGTCGACCGAAAGGGCCCAACCCAACAAAACAAACAAACAAACAAACAAACAAGTCTGTCGTTGACCTGCTATACCTATATATTATATTCCGTGATATGAGCATATCATTTGTTGGTTGATATGTGTGCTGATGGACCTTGGTCACAGCAACAGGGCTTAGATATAACAGTTTCAGTTTGATTTACCAGTTTTGGTTTGAGGATAGTAGTAAAGCAGGTGTCACACTTGCTTTTTCATGGCCCCCAAAATTGTCACTAGCTCATCAGCGAATCAGCATTAATTATTGTCTTACGCTGATTGGTGGGATTACTGCATTTGTTGTTTAATTAGAATGCCCACAGTGCTGACAGCGCTAGCGTAAGTGTCCACTTTTTGTAATTTTGAAAGGCAGGAGAGTACACCCTTGGTTCCACCTATTGGGTGCACCATCAGGTTGTCCTCCCTGATGGACGCCGGCAGGGACGTAGCCAAGGGGGGGGGGCGGAGGGGGCGCCCGCCCCTCCCTTGGGGTTTTCAGGAGGCCCCCCGAAGCCCACGTTGGCCTGAATCCTTTCGGCCTGAATCCAACGTGGGCCGGCCAAAATCACGTCGGAGGCGAACGAAATTCACCCGGGAATCTAAAACATGACGTCAGAACAATCAGGGCCCTCTGACCAGCCTGACAAGTGACAGCTAGGGCCCTTCTCATCTCCTGTGAATAACCACTAGTGTCTGTGTCTGACCGCTAAGGCCCCTCTGACTCCTCAGTAGAGAGGAGGCCCTCTGTGGGTAGGAGGCCCTGTGTAGAGAGGAGGCCCCCTTAGAGAGGAGACCCCCTGTAGAGGGGAGGCCCTCTGCAAAAAGGAGGCCCTCTGTAAAAAAGAGGCCCTCTGTAAAAAAAGAGGCACTCTGTAAAAAGGAAGCCCTCTGTAGAGAGCAGGCCCTCTGTAGAGAGGAGATCGTCTGAAGAGAGGAGGCCCTTTGTAGAGGAGGACTCCCTCAGTAGAAAGGAGGTCCTCTGTAGGTAGGAGGCCCTCAGTAGAGTGAAGGCCCTCTGAAGAGAGGAGGCCCTTTGCAGAGATGAGGTCCTCGGTATAGAGGAGGTCCTGTGTAGAGACGAGACTCTGAAGAGAGGAGGCCCTACATAGATAGGAAGCCCTCTGTAGAGAGGAGGTCCCTGTAGAGACTAGAGAGGAGGCCCTCTGTAGAGAGGATGCCCTCTGTAGAGAGGATGCCCTCTGTAAAGGAGGCCCTCTGGAGAGAAAGACACCCTCAGCAGAGAGGAGGCCCTCTGTAGATAAGAGGCAATGTGTAGAGAGGAAGCCCTCTGTGGCTGTGTTGGTATTTTTACGATGGATGCAATTACCCAAACCATTTATCAGACCGTGGTGATATTCCCATAGCCATGCTTCGCACAACTCATAATAATTTATTTGACCGGGAAATTAATATATACCTATCCATCGATTGTTTGTTTCATCTACGGCGTAAATGAAGCAAACCACCTGGACCTAGGAAAATTTACTAACGAAACCATGTTTTACTTACAGCAAGTAAACGTGGCATCATTCACACATAAAAAATTGATAACCGTATAGTTTCAATCTTGCAGACGTCAGTCAGGTCAGAATCGTGACAAGCCTATTGGAAAATATAATGAACTGTGTCCTGCTTCGAGAAAACGAGTCAAAACCACCCAATTCTTTCTGAATTACGTCAGATTATCTTATCGGTAAGCACCCAGTGGCATTTACTGACAGGGGCACCGGCAAGGATCATCTGAGGTGAGGTAAGGTCATCAACAGTTTTTAGCCAATAAATCACGACATGATGGGGCTAAATAGTTGTTAGTGTACAAAACCGTTCGCCTGGTCATGACGCGCCGATTGGTAGCCAGCGTGACCTTCCTAGGTCAGATTTTGAAGTTGACCTATCTATGTAGGTCGTTATAAACCATGTTAATTGTTATGACCTCTGGCGACCTCAATATTGACCTGACCCAAAAAAGTTGTTTACAAAAGTTGTAAGTCGTTCAACGAACTATCAAACGCCGTTACCGTTTGTCGCTACGATGCGTGCTTTTCGAGTTCTGACGGGGGCCAAAAAGGCCCCCGCCCGATTCAGAGTCTTTCAGAGCCCGCCCGGAATACTTGAACGATATATGATAATACATCAAGTGTTACTCTGACCGTCATCCAGTATCCACCCATTCCTCGCAGATCCTCCCCCTCCTGCTGCGGTCCGGCCGCCGCCGCCGGCGCCCGAGTTTTTTTTTTTTTGCCAGTTACCATGCCACTCGGAGACTTGTGATATGCGTATGTTTCTTACCGCGACAGCGGTAAGAATAAAGAAACATACCAGTGCGCTGGCCATATGAAAGCTGAACAAAAGTCTGCATTATGTTGTATATGTAATTATGTAGGCATGAGACCCTCTGTAGAAAGGAGGCCCCTTTAGGGAGGAGACCCTCTGTAGAAAGGAGGCCCCCGGGATTCCTCCGCCCCTCCCTTGGCCAAATCCTAGCTACGTGCCTGGACGCCGGTGAAAACAGGGCGCCGGAGGGCATATTAGTCACGTGACATTTGGAACTTCTCCCGCTTCATGGGCCTTCTATATGGCAAACGTCATGTGTAGATTTCACGAACCTTGATCAAATCACCCCAGGCGCCCTGTTTTCACAGTCGTCCTCCCTGATGACCCTCTGCTGTCCCCTATCTTGACCTTTATGTTACGTACTGTGCCAGTGGCGGATCCAGGGGGGCCATGGGGGCCATGAACCATCACGGCAGGGGTCCACAGGCCCACCAGGGGCACCACAGGCCTGTCAGGGGCACCTCAGGCTTGTCAGACCCCAGGGGCACCACAGTCCTTCCAGGAGCACCACAGGCCTGCCAGGGGCACCAAAGACCTAGCAGGGGCATCACAGGCCTGCCAGAGGCACCACAGGCCTCGCAGGGGCACCACCGGCCTCGCAGAGGCACCACAGGCCTCGCAGCGGCACCTTAGGCCCGTCAGGGGCACCACGTGCCTGTCGGGACACCTCAGGCTTGTCAGTGGCACCACAGTCCTGTCAGGGCCCAGAGGCACCACAGTCCTTCCAGGGGCACCACAGGCCTGTCAGGGGCATCACTGGCCTCGCAGGGGCACCTTGGGCCGGTCAGGGGCACCACATGCCTGTCGGGGACATTTCAGGCTTGTCAATGGCACCACCGTTCTGTCAGGGCCCAGGGACACCGGCGGCCTAGCAGGGGTATCACAGGCCTGCCAGGGGCACTACCGGCCTAGAAGGGGCATCACCGGCCTCGCAAGGGCACCATGGGCCTGTCAGGGGCACTGCGGGCCTGTCTTTGGCACTTCAGGCTTGTCAGGGGCACCACAGTCCTTCCAGAGGCACCACAAACCTGTCAGGGGCACTTGCGGTCTAGCAGGGGCACCATAGGCTCACCAGGGGCAACACACACACACAAAAATAGAAAAATAAAAAAGTGAAAATAGGGCACCATCAAATTGAAGTGGCCGAAATCCGCTGAGTTTTTAATTTTGGGTATAGGTAGGGGCACCACTTCGATTCATGCCCCCCCCCCCCTTGGAGTTTTCCTGGATCCGCCACTGTACTGTGCTAGACACTTTCAGGATTTTTTTTTTATTTAGTCAGAACCTTTTGAATGGAAGGATTGACAAGGACAGAGCGAAGCTTGTTGCGTTCATACTGCTCTCTACCTCCGATCGCCGGTTCTATGGCAGAATTTGGAGTCCAAAGTTTAACGTGCATACATTGCCGCGCACGGCCAGTCCCCTACTGACTTCGCCTGGCTACGGCCTGCCACCAACCGCAACCATACCTGTCAGGAGGCCCCTACACGTCAAGCGCCCGTCGCGCTTCGAACCCTTTACCACCTTGACCTGACCTACACCAGAATCAGTAACCTTAACTGACCCCAATGGTCGCCTAACCTACATCATTGAATTTGAAATGTAAAACTTACCATACAACATGTATCACATGGCCCTAGTATAATTGGTTCATACTTCATATTGTGACCCTTAGTGACTGGACCTCTGTGACCTGACCCAGTATTGGTGACCTCATTCACCAAACTATATGTTCTGCTGTATTTGTTTGAATGCATTACTCATTCATTTTACATGTGCTGACTGCTTGTTTTTCAGGTCAACATGGCAAGATTCCACTGGGTAATATCTGCCTCTGCACTCCTGGCATTCACCTGCAGTGTAGTTGCCCCTCCTCCAAGAAAGCAGCCAGAGCCCAAACCAGCCCCAGATGATGACCCAAACCTCAATGAGGCTGTAAGTCAAATCGCAGTTGTTATGTGTGATGCACAAAGTAATGCAGATTTGTGACCTACGTGAAGTGTTTATGTATATGCCTGCTGAGAAGATATGACAGTAACATTTAATAAGCAGGATGGTTATATTTAAAGATAGTCTGCTTATTGAAAGCGTGGTACTTAAAATGTGGGGTTGAAATGAGATGAGTAATGGATGCGTTTTGCTAATTGCATAAACTTTTTTTAGGTATCTTATAGGAAATATAATGATATTTTGGCTAGGTATTTGTTTCTATGCTCTTATATTGTTTCAATGTCATGGGAGTTCTGAATCTGAAATTTTAACTCTTGACGAAATTTGTGACAAGTCATTGAGCCTTTGTAAATGTGGCACAATGATCGCAGCTCGGTCCAATGGCCTGTCTCAGCCGACACCCAACCGACACCTACGGTAGGGAAAGCACAATGAAAGAATGAGAGGTGGATGCATTGATGTCCGCTTCTTTTCGTCTGTAGAGAGCTAATTGTCTCCAGCCTCCATCGGTGTTGATGTGTCGGGGTATCCAGCCCTATCGTTATCCACTTACTTTGGCGACGGTAGTCTTTGACGGCCAGCGTTCACCAAAAGCTGTCATTTTGGCATGTTCGCCTTTTTCGTGTTCATCTCGGAACACAACAGTTATTTATTTTACGTCGAGACGGGGAATACAGTGCTCGGAGACCATCGGAACGCAATGCCGCTTATCTATCGCTGATTTTAAAACACCTTGATTTTCTTACCTTGCTTTGGATCTTTCGCTCGCAGACTCTGGGCTTGGAGTACAGAAGCTACTTAGAAGAGATCGTCAAAGTACTAGAAGAGGATCCTCAGTTTAAAGTTATACTTGATAATGCGACAGAACAAGAAATAAAGGTAAGTGACCGAATCATTATACATAATTTACTTTTCAGGTTTTAGTTTTAGAATGAATGGTGCAACTGAGATGAAGTGTGAGCTCATTTGAGATGGAGATGAAGCCACGCTGCTCCTATTGTTCGACACACGACACATGGTGTCGGTCGGTCATCGGCGTTCGGTGATAGTTATTATTGCCGATTCTTTACCCTGTAAGCAGCTGCTATGCTGTTATCCTGGCTTTTGGACATGTGAGGCGTTTGGGACCGTGCGAGTATTTGCGGACTCCACTGCCCCTACATCATTTTTTTAATGGTAATAACCGAGAAGGTGCGCTTTCAATGTCATATTTCACTGCGAGTGCGACCCCACGGTGCATGAGGCAGCGGCTCTCTCCTATCTCTTGCGGCAGTAACTCGGAATCGAGTGAGACACTTCAGTTTGCAAACCGGTTGTTTATGGCACCACCACGAGGGCCGGCCCTTGGTGTCATAAAAGTCCGGTGTTTAGACAGACGGGGCGGGAATTGTCCCTTTGCTGACCCATGCGGTTTGTCAGCGGACGGTCCAATTATTGTCTGAAGGATTATATATAGGATTATATACTAGAGACGACCGACAGAGTCGGTAAACGTACGAACAAGCGGAGAGCCGTAAAACCCCAATAAATCAGTCAGCAGGGGGAGGGTGACTTGGTCCATCGCTGACTGCTCGTAAGACCAGACCCCATCTACCGGCTAAGTATCATCGATAGTTATCAAAATCTTTTATCGCGACTTTTGACGCTTTGAAGGACCGGAGGGTGGTTTGTTCTTTTTGCAGTGATACCTTCTAAAGTCTTAAAGTCGTTATCACTTATTTAACCAGCGTCTCTAACTGTGACTTTGAATCGGTCTTTCACGATACATTGGGCGGCTGGCGGGCAGGCTGGCCACCGGGCTACGTTGGTGGGCAGGCTTGCCCCGGGCTCGTTCGGCCGGGTGCAAGCCTTTGCGCAGTGACGGTAGCTGTCACCCTAAATGTCACACTCGTCGGCACCGGACCGGACCGGAGTGCAGCGCCGCAGGGACACGTGGACTAGCACGAGGTCACGTCACGGCGGGAGGCCACGTAGAATGACTGACTTCGCACGTGGAGAAACCGGGGAAATCGGATTGATGGCTGCGGTGACTGAAAGCCGTTTTACTGACCTATCTACCTGCTATCTTGCTATCATAGATCTTGCGATCATTTACTACGATCTTTTGAATGACCACACGATGCGCGACGGACGGAGTTTTTTTTTTTTACCCGAGAGTAGCAGCGGTTTGATGTCGGTTAGATGTGTAATCGAATTTAGAGAGAATGCCAATGGTTGCACGCATGACCATTTGATAAGAGAATGCAGAGAGAATGCATTTGATAATTGCAATTTGTTAAGTGGATATTTATGTTCGTATTGGCCCTACGCATTCATCGATAAATATCCATCAGTTCATGTTTTGTCTCCTCATAAAAAAGACGCCATTCGTCGTCCACACAAAAGATGAAATCATGAACAAGTGGGATATCTTGTTTCGCATGAGGGAGGAAACCATAGGCGTCTTTTAAACAATCCGCGGGGAATGCAGCGGACTTTGGTCTGACTCTCCTCCCCTCCCCCAAAGTCGGGCGCGGTGGCCGACAAGCTGCACGTGGTCGACCCGTCCATCCGCTCCCGACTGGACGAACTGAAGCGGATAGAGCTGGAGCGGCTGCGGCGAAAGGCCACCGAGGCGTACGAGCTGTCCAACGGGCTGGACCGCGAGGCCATCAAGGAGCCGCTGCACCTGGAGCACCGGAACCCGCACACATTCCGGGAGGAGGACCTGCGCCGACTGGTCAGAAAGGTAGGCGCACCGGTAGAGCGCAGCCGCTCCCTGTCCAGCCCGGTGATTTAATGCTCCTGATGTTCCCGTCCAGCCCGGCACAACACCAGATAATACCGTTACCAGGGACACTCGGGTTGATGATAGGATATTATGTCTTGCCGAAGCGGTACTCACATTGATTTTCTCAGAATATCCTTATTGGTGAAATTGATTCAAAGTTAAGGATAGTCTCTAACGAAAGAGTAGAAAACCAATAAACTAAAATCGGTGGCGTCAATGCAATCAATTTTTTTGTAGTTTCCATGATTTTTGAAGTATATTGGCTTTCTTTTTCCATATCTATGACAATTATAACACTATCAGTAGAAACAAAATATTTTTTTTCAATTATAAATACCATATTTGAATAATGTCTTGTAGTGGGTTACGTGAATTATTTTGAGACTATTTTTTAATATTCACTTTAAATACTAAAATAAATGCGAATCTGGATAAGAAACAGCAGTCAGGACCGTGATTTCCTTCCTCAAATGTAATCGTCTTTTTTATCAAGACTGCTCACGACCTTGAAGAGTTGGATCGCAAGCGACATGAGGAGTTCAAGAAGTATGAAATGGAGAAGGAGTTTAACCGTACCCGGGAGTTAAAGAAGATGGACAAACAGCACCGAGAAGAGGCCGAGAAGAAACATGAAGAGGAGGTGAAGACGCACAAACAACATGAAAAGGTGAGCACTAAGCAATATCCCTGTCAATGTAAATTCAATTGTAGTCTATAGTCTACATACCCATATGTAGTTGCGGGTATATGACCTAAATTCACGAACAGAAATTAAATTGAATAGGCGTTGGAACTATAAAGAATGATCGCAGGTGTTTGCAGTTGTGCAATCTGTGTAATATGTTACTCTCCGAGCGCTGTGACCAGCCAAGGTTCAGTGTCGGGATCTGTGAATGACGCTTCCTCCCCGGCGTGTTCCTCGTCAGGTGCACCACCCCCTCAGCGAGGACCAGCTGGAGGAGGTGTGGGAGGAGCAGGATCACATGGACAAGGACGGCTTCGACCCGGAAACCTTCTTCAGGATGCACGGTGAGCAGCTTCTCGGGCTAGGGTGAAACGCGCTGGAAGTATGGGTAGAGGCGCTACGAGGCATTGAAGATGGTTTGCAAGTTTTTCGTCGATAAATAAACGAGTTCATAAACGTTTTAGTTATTTTTCGTAAGACGGCTAGGCTGAATTGTGTAGCTGCATGAGATAGGGGATTTTGTTGCCCTAGCCCGTCCCTCGTTTGTTCTGTGGTCTGCCCCGACTCTCCCTCCCTCATGCTACCATACCGTGCCTTGTCCTGCCTTAACTCTGTCCAGACGTCCTGACACTGTCCTGTCCTGACTCCGCCCTGTTCTGTTTCTCTCCCCCGCCCTGTCACCGTCCTGTTCTGATTCACTGCCCTGTACTGACGCCGTCTTGCTCCGTTTCTCCGCCCTTCACTGACGCTATTCCGTTGTTTCTCTTCCCAGCCCCGACGCTGTTCCTTTCTGATTTTCTGCCCTTTACTGAATCCTTCCTGTCCTGACGCCATGGCACTTAATTACAATGTCCTGGCTTTCCCCTGTTTTGATGCCCCGTTCCGTTCTTTTTGCCGTGCACTGATGCCCCCTCTCTGACGCCATGCCTTTCCGCAGACGTGGACGGTAACGAGCAGCTGGACCCGGTGGAGACGATGGCGCTCTTCAAGAGCGAGCTGGACAAGTTGTACAACAGCAGTGACGCGGACCCGCGCGAGCGGGAGGAGGAGATGAACCAGATGCGCGAGACCACCTACAAGGAGGTGGACACGGACCAGGACGGGCTTATCAGGTGAGCGGCATTGCAACTCGGGGTAAGCGACATTGGACTCAATTAGGTAAGCGGCGTCGGGGGCTCTCCTAAACACCGTTTGATCAGGAAGCTTACGCTGTGTTCTTCCAAATAATATGTAAAAATAATTTAATTCTGCTATTGATGTGCCGAACATTTACTTGGCGGAGTATTTCTCATTTGCATTACGACGTGATAAATGTCTGAGCGTACTTGCTCAGCTTCTAGTTATTGCCGTTTGTTTTTCTACTCTTACCTGTTCACATTTAATGGAATAAACAGAAATGAACTTGTCTTTCAGTGCACGCCAAGATAGATCGCTGACTTTGATCGAGTAGTTTAAGTGCCCTGCTAGTGACGACCCTGACGTCGTATAGCGCCATCTAGAAGTCATGACGGCCTTGTCTTTCGGTGTTCCATTGGAGATCAGCAGCTGTTCCATGGGCATCAGCCGCGTATTTCTATGTTTAACCCTCGCCCTGGCAGGGCATTTTTCATAACACGGCCTGGCAGGGGGGGGGGGGGGTCGATGCGACCCCCCCTCGCGATTGGCTCCTATGGCACCTAGAAACACCAAATTTGGTAGGTAGGTGGGCCCCCTGGAGTTCTAGCCTCTGTGCAAATTTGGTTGCTCTAGGTCAATATTTAGGGGGGTTTTAGGGGGTATAAATGTAAAAATTTCGCTAAAAACAGGTCAAAAGTTTTTCGCTTATAACTTTTGATCTAATTAAGATATAGCAAAAAGAAAAGCACCAGTGAACTCAGCACGTCAAGGCGCGTCGAATGATTTACTGTTTAGCTTGCTTAAATGTACTTAAAGTTTTTCTTAAATTTTAAGTAAACTTAAATTAATAAATTAAGTTCAAGTTAACCAAATTGCGCCATATCGTATATCATTCGATTCGGCTGATCACCAGGAACACAATGGTACCATTTTTAAGCTCTAGCGTCATTATGTGCCAAGTTATTGGCAAAAACGTCATTTGACCTCAGTTGACCTCATTTGACCTGACCCATGGATAAGTACACCAAACAAAGAAGCACCAAGTGACCTGCTGTTAAGTACTGTGGTTTCAAAGCACAAAAATGATAGAACGAAGCGGATATCTCCAGTATTTTCCGAATTTAGTATTTTCCCATAGGCTTAACATTACGACGTAATGACCTCTAACTGACCTCAGGTCAGTGACCTCAAAAAACCCGAACTATATGTTATACAACTCGGTGAACTTAGCACATCCTGAAAGTTTGAAGGAAATCAGTGAAAAACTGTGAGTTGGACAGGTGCAAAAAGAAAATTGAAATTTGACCATGACCTTGTACCGGTTTTTCTGACCTGGTGACCTGACCCAAGGCCACCCGGACCTGAAATTTTCAGGTCATATGTAAAAAGGTTGCCCCATAGGCTGTGCCAAATTTGGCGGCGCGCTATCTTCGAAAAACCTTAGGGGGGGTTGCATCGACCCCCCCCCCCCCCTGCCAGGGCGAGGGTTAAGCTAGTGACAACTGACAGCTGACAGCCACGTATTTCAGTGCCCTGCTCTGGTAGTGACAGGACGTATTTCACTGTTCTCTTGAGCTGACGGACATTGATGTGTTTTAGCGTTCTTGCTACTTACGGCCTTATCCACTTTTGACCTCTCACTGACCGTCCTGCGTCTGTTTCGCCGGCAGTTTGGAAGAGTTTATGGCCAGTACTAAACACGAGGACTACAAACACGACCAGGGCTGGGAGGGCATTCCGGACCGCGAGCACGAGTTTGAACAGAAAGAGTTTGATGAGTACGCTCACCACCGTGAGCAGGAACTGGTGAGTCGCGCTGGCTCGGGTCCTCTGTCCACGTCCCGGTCCAGCCTTACTGAATGGCCCTAAACCCCTGACTACACAGTGCCCGCTGTTTTCGTTAGGAGTGCGGGAACTGTGGGTGTGCGTGGGGTGGTGGTGGTGCGGGTTGGGGCTTTATCATTGGTTATCTGATGATTCATGATCACTGAGTTAGCTAGATGGCATGCATTTGTTCAGCAACATTTTGCGGGTGCTTTTGACCAGACAGTGGCGCCCTCTGCACCGATCGGCTGCCACTTTCACGTGTAATTGTGATGTATCCGCATAGCCATGGGAAAATTTGAGTTCCTGTGGTTTCTTGATTGAACTATTATTCCTCGCCAAGTTTTGTCAAATACAGATATATTTCGTGCGTGTTTACACTTTGCCATATGATACGTGCGGACCATGTTAGCTGCGATAACATGTAACCTCTTGGAATCAGTTTTATTTGATATCACGTCCAGTTTTGCGTCGTAAAAACGGTTGAGGCCATTCCTGTTACTTAAAGTGTTGTGTGAAGTATTTCAGGCTGCTGTACTTAGTCGATGTATTATATTTTCAGGGTGAGCAGGACCACCACGAGTCGGAGGAGCACCATGACGACCATCCTGAGGCACACCCTGACCAGCCGCAGCTGAGCCTGCCCATTGGAAACCCGCCGCAGCCGTACCACCAGCAGCAGCAGCATGGACAGCCGCAGCAGCAGCAGCAGCAGCAGCAGCAGCAGCAGCAGCAGCAGCATGGACAGCCGCAGCAGCAGCAGTTGTACGCCAGCCAGCAGCAGGGTATACCGCTCCAGCAGCAGGGCGTCCCTGTCCAGCAGCAACAGGGCACGTACCAGCAGGGAGTCCCCGTACAACACGGAGTGCCCGCACAGCAGCAGTACGGGGCTCCACCACAGCAGCACGGAGCTCCTGTGCCGCAGCAGGTGGTGCCTGGCCAACAACAATACGGCGCCCCGCCGCCTCAGCAAGGAGCGCCTATCCAGCAACAATATGGAGCTCCCGTGCAACAGCAGGCAGCTCCCTCACAACAACATGGAATCCCGGCACAACAGCACGGAATTCCGGCACAACAGCACGGAATCCCGGCACAACAGCACGGAATCCCGGCACAACAACAGGGAATCCCGGCACAAGGAGCTCCTGTGCCGCAACAGGGAATGCCAGGTCAGCAACATCACTAACAGCTTGAAATGCATTTGTTTTAATGCAGTTGTTTACTAGACCTTTTATCATGATCATTGACCAAAGCGAACAAATGACATTTGCGATATTACGAGCTTAACGTAACGATATATGACTTCTTATTTTTGCATCCATCGCTACTGCTTCGCGAGCTTCACGATTCACCTCAAGGTCGGAAAGTCTACCGTGTCAAATCTATCAAATCTACGGAAAATCCACTAAGTCATTCCACGTAGCGTCCGTAGTGAAGTAGTCAAGTGAAACGCAAAATATGTCATGGCACGAAGTTATCCTAATGTACGGAGTTTCTACCTCGCCTCTGTGATAAAAGAACGAATCTCAACCGGGCCAGATATTACAGCCGTGTAGCATGGCTACTGTCATTCCTAATTAATATTTTTTTATTGTTGCATAATTTAAATGTAAATCTCCCATATGCGATATTTTTGTGGTGCAATACTGATTTGCAAATCTGACGTTACATAGAAAGAAAGTGGCAGTCATAAATTTATACGGTTTCGTTTACTTTATATGTATGCCGTTTTATGGGGTAGGTAACATATAATTGTTATGAATGGTGGTGTTTCTTACCTTTCTATTTCTAAGTATCTTATCGATACAATATATTGGTATGTGTGCAATATAATAAGAAATGAACTATCTTTTTATATGACGACGTAGAAGTCTATAAACACCTATTTATGGAAAAGGCCTCTTGTCCTTTATTTTCATTGAAGTGTGTTGTTGATCATCGCTGTGTGGTGTTGTTACGGGTTGGCATACGCATGCTGCTAATTGCTGTCATGGGCCGGGCTTTTGTTTTCCGCATAGTGTGCTCAAATGGGTATTTGTTCCGATGGGGTTGCTGGTAAGTGGTATCTGTGTTTCATATTCGGTAACAACATGGAAAAATAAGGTGGTGTGGGGTATGGTGGAAGTCTATTGCAGGGCTTTCATTCCGTACGACATGTGATGTCCGTCAATATTTGTGAGCCATATAATGGTAATAAACGGAGGACACCCTACATTGTTTTCACCGATACATCTGAAACATTTGAAATAAATTGGTGTCACTGATATCGCACCAACCCGCGCCGTGACGATCCGATCGTAATACAGCGTGGGGGGCTCCACTACGCATCCTCTAGCTCTGCTCACAGGCCACGTAGTGACATGCGGACCGCAGTAAGCGATGTTCCGGAGCTCGTCTAAAATCCTGAAGCTCTCTAATCTTTTGCTGCTGTAAATCACAATCAGAAAGGGTCGGGTGTGCTGTGATTCCGTTGCCCTGCCCTACAGCCTGCACCTTCCACGGCGCGGGCAGTGGATGACAAGCCATGATGACACAAGAAAAACGTTTTTTTTATTAACATTTAACGTTAGTGCTTCGCCGTTCACCGGATGGGAACTTATAATCGTTCTTGGTGTAGGAGGGAAAAGTTATAATATAATTCAATTACAATTCAGAGCCATCATAGTTAATGAGCATTTGTATTTCGCCGGTGACACCCCGCCACTTTACGCTCTCGGCATTGCTGATGAATTGATGAATAATGCGTCCCTTCACATCGCTCATCTCACACTTGTGTTAGTGTCTGTTTCTAACAAAGTTGGAACCTCACGGTGAAAATCGGCCTATAGCGTTTTAAGACAGCTCGAGTGCTCTTGTAGGTAAAGGCTCAGGTCAACCGGTGACCTCTATCGTCGGGCCAAACACCTCGTCAGTATTTTCAGTGCGATTGGTTGAGTCATTCCATCAAATTTTAGCGGACCATACCACCTCATATCTGATCGGGTCAGGCATCTCCACTGGGCCCGTGGTTGCGTCAGCCATCTCCCTGCGCCAGCGTGCGGTCGTGTCACCCCCATACCAGCTGTGGGGTCACCCCTTTGCTATGCTGTTGGCCGTTGGGTCACCCGGGCACCAGCTGTTGTCGCCGCTCGGGTGTCAGTTCCCCGCTGTGCCTCTGTGCGGTGATTTTCCGTGTTTTGGCCGTCTGGCTCCGGTTTGAATCTGCGCCCGTCCCGTCTCCCGAACGGCACATCCTGATGGATTGTGAGCCTGACCCGGGGAACGCATTTGTCGGTCATTACTGCACCCCTCCTCCCCCTTCCCAGCTGACCCGAGAGGAGGGGGAGGGCTCACAGTCGGCGGTCGACCCGCTCCTTTTAAATGGTGTTTTGTCAGCTGAGGGCGGTCGCGGGAATGCGGAACTGCGTGACGGTGCGCTGGGCCGGCGCGTCGCGCCGACGCCGGGTCAGTGGGGAGGCACGGTGTTTACGGACCCCGTGACCTGGTTCACCCCACCTCACCCCTATCCCGCCGCACACCTGACCGGGCGCTCCCCTCCTCCGAGCCTTTCCCCGGTAACAAAAATACCGGCCAGATCCGGTAGTCACCGGGTTCCCAGGCTCGCCGACTCCCCCCACCCCGCGCGCGATACATCCTGGTGACCCCCTCCCAACCCGGATACGGCAGAGGGTAGACTCCAAAATCACAACTGATAATACCGCGGCTGCATCTGCTTCTCTGGCTACTGAGCGATATTTGTGAAGTTGACCGGGAGGGAACGGGGAACAGGAGCGGCCCAGATGGTATGCTGGCTGAGACACCCGTCAGTCATTCTAATCTCCTCTGCCTATCGGAACATCAGCGGGGATTTGGAAGAGTCTGAGATGGGGACTGGGCTGATTAGAGCCTAGAGGACATCAGGTTTGTGGTCTGCTCCCGTTTGATTTTTGGCCCGATTTCATCGTTTTTTATGCTTACAGGAAGTTCCACAAGTTAAATTCTTTTTTTTTCTTTTTTTTTTGTATCTCGGAACAAATTATATATGATATTAACGTCCAGGTAAAGTGTTATCGTTATACGAATCTCAGTCAATGTCTCGTATTCGTATCACATATCGCATATTTACATAATCGTATCGTCTGCTGGGTGCTTGGACATTCGGATCGATATTGTGTGGGCGAAGTTATAACTTCTTCAGCGTTCTTTGAGTAAGTATGCAGCTTCTGGCAGGTTGGCATGTGGGGGGGGGGGGGAGGGTTCACAGTCAGTTCCCCGCTGACTGTGTCTCTCCAATGGAGACTGGAGAGCGTTGGGACTTTCTTTGCTGTTGCAATTTTATCGTCAGAAATGATTGGGTTTCTTCCGCATCAAGGTCGTTCTGACGTTCAACAGTTGTGATGATAGAGATAGCCTTTAAAGGGACTATCCCACCTTTAACATGGGGTTTGAGTTGAGATAGCCAAGTTTGCGGCGAGGTTCAGAAACCACTATCTATCTAGGTTACAACCCCCGCGGCCTCTTGGTGTTGAAGAAATTCGTTCCCTTCATTTGAAAATGGGCCTTGTACAAGGCCCTATCTTCAACATTGAGCGACCGTTAGTGTGACGTCACCTCGTTTAGTCATTCTGATTTAAATGTGTTTGTTCGTTGAAAAATCGCTTAAAACTTGGTCTGAACTTTGTTGTGGTGCCTACAGAGTAAAAAGAATCAGCTTTATGACAGTAATGTGGCCTGGGGAAGGAGGTAATTTTGGGCTGTGACGTCACATATTTGAAAGTTTGTGTTTGGAATATGGGAAGCCTAAGATGTTTAATGAAAAATAAATGCCAGAACCGTGTTCCTGGTCATCCAATCTATAAAGTCTGGCACAATTTAACTGGTTTTAACAACATTTTAGAAGGTGGGATAGTCCCTTTAAATGGTGCGAAATGGTAACGTGTTATTGGGGGCAAAATGTCGAGGATTATTTGCACTTTGTTCCAGTGATAGACCCTGTCTGGAAGCAAAATGATACCGTTTTGTTTTTCTGCTCACTGCTCAGCCTATAGCCAGGGGCGTCGTTTTGTATAGGCCTGGTAGGGCCCGAGCCCTACCAATGTTTATTTGGGCCCTACCAGTGTTCGCTGAGCTCTACCAATCTTTTGTCACTTATCAGTTGGTAAAAAATCAAAATAAACAGATAAGCAAATAAGCATATATGTACATTCGTCACAGATGTGTGTGGCCTGTGGGCCGTAGGAGCTGCTGTCGCGAACCCTTCGCAAGCCGGCAGGGGATTCTTAGGGAACGGCAAGGTGTCCTCACTCCTCAGGCCGGCAAAGGGTCTTCAGAGGCCGGCAGCACCTTCAGAAGTTCAGTGGGGTCCTTAGAGAACGGCACGGTACATACTCTCAGACTCCGGTGGGATCCTCAGAATTGCCGGTGTGGGCCACGCAAAAGTCACTGGTGGGTGTCCGTCAGATGCATATGTCGCCGGTGAGGGCCCTCTTAAGCGCCGTTTCGGGGCCCTCAGATACACTGGTTTGTGGCCATCACAGATATGCGTGGGACCCTTAGAGCTGCTGAGCTGAGTGCTGGTGCGGGCCCTTCATAGGACGACAAGGGGACCTCAGAGGTCGGTGGTGCCTTTAGGAGCGCCGAGGGGGTCCCTTTAGACCGGAATAGTATTCTCAGACGCCACTGGGACCCTCAGAGTCACCAGTGTGGACTCAGTGGAGCCGTCAGAGTCGCTGGTGTAGGGCCTTAGGAGCCTCTGATGAAGACCCTCAGAACTGGGGGAGAAGGGGCCTCAGAAACGCCGGCGTGGGCTCTCAGAAACGCCGGTGTGGGCTATCAGAGGCACTCCTCACAGTTATTGGGGCCCTAAGAGAATTGGTGTTGGACCATCACAGGCGGGCATGCAGCTCGTAGAGCCGGCTCCTAATAGGCCGGTAAGGGCCCTCAGAGGCCACCAATAGGCCCTCAGAGCCGAGGCCACCAATGCGCCCTCAGAGCCAAGGCCACCAATGGGCCCTCAGAGGCCAGCAAGAGATTCTCAGAGACCGTGAGGGGCAGGCTGGTAAGGGGCCCTTGGCGGCCTCTTAGGGCCTTAACTGGTGACAAGGGCTCTAAGAAGCCGGCGTGGGGCACTTACGAAGATCTTAATACGCCACTTAGGGGCCCATGAGATGCTCTGACGAGCCCTGTGGGGTCCCTTTGAGACGAAATATGGCCAGCATGGACCCTCAGCGGCCGATTGGCGCCGCAGGGACCCGAAGGGCCCCCTGGACCCGATGAGAGGGGCACGTGCCCCCTGTGCCCCCCCCCCACTTGGCTACGCCACTGGAATCTATCATGCTATGTTTAAGATCTCTGCAAGATGTATCCCCCGTTTGCTGACACTGCAGAGAAAAGGCAAGCTCGAAAGGAGGCTTAGCGGAGTGTTTGGCCCCTTATCGAATATCTAGAAGATATTTATCATTGACTTGTCACCGTAAAGGAATTGTGGGCGTCACACGTTGACACTAAGGGACACCGTGCCGAGTTGCGCAAGTGGAAGCACAGTGCACACCGAGTAACGGCCACCAAATGAGTGGTACGAGTTGAAGTTAGTCGGCAAAGTGATAGTGGTTACATTTTGGTATGCCGACGGGGCTCTGCTTGTCAACTTTCTAAAACAGGGGCGCACAATTGATGATGTGCATCCATTCGATAGACATCGAGTAGAGGCTATAGGGAAGCTGACATAAAGTGTGCACCTGATCCACGGCCACGCACCTGCGTACTTGCGCGGGGTGACGATAAGTTAAGTGATGAAATGTGGCTTCGAGTTGTTGTCGCATCCACTTTTTTCTCCAAACCCTGCACCCTCTGGTTGCCACCTCTTCCCCCACATAAGGAAATTAGCAGTGGCAACTTCGCTGACTGCAGGGAGACGAAGCAGCCGTCTTGGACGTGGGATGGGTCCAAAACCCACTTGATTATGGAGACCTTGAGGGCTCTCCCGAAGCGCTGCGCGAAATGTGTTTGTCTTAAGGGTGATTATTTGAATAAATGAACTTTTTGGTCTAATAAGTCGATGCTGTATCTTTCTGCTTCTTCATGGTCAGGCATGTAACTTTCTGAACGCTGGCTCGTACTGTCATTTTTTTTTTGCATCCTTTTATTTTGGCAAGCAGGTCTTTCTAACTATCGTGGTGTTTCGAGACCTCGTTAGTTGTCGAACCCTGCGATTGGCGTGGGCCTTCAAAGCCGTTCCTGGCCCCGTAGCCGTCTTTTTCATTCGGCTTGGGCCATCAAAACCGTCCTTGGCCCCTTTCAGCACATCCGTGCTTTTAAGTCGGCGTGGGCCTCTTTCAGAATGGCGTGCATTCCTCCGACAATATTATAACTGCCTATTTAACTGCACGTTTTGTGCATGGAGCTCGTTGAGGACCTAGACTTCCAAAATGTTTTTTTTTTTAGATTTTGGTTTGTCTTGTCAATGACCAGGGCGAAAAAATAAGTGGCCGAAATCCGATGAGAAAGGCAGATTTGGGGGTACCCTACCTTTTAAGCCCCGCCACATGTGGCCGGCCGCCGCCTTTGGGCCCTACCAATCATTTTCGGAAAACGACACCCCTGCCTATAGCTATCATCAAAAGTGGTAAAGTGTTGTCAGCATAATTCCATTATTGCATGTTGCATGAGTATCGATAACAAAAGCACATCTCGAGACTCGAAGCATTTCAATTTTTCCCAGGAAACAACCTGGAAGCGCCTCCGCTCTCACCCTCACCCGTCTGGGCCTCAGGCCGGCGGGTAGATGCCCAGGACCGGAAATAATTTGATTGCTTAACTTTTACTTATTTAGCTCTATACCTGTGGCGTGAAGGGAGGCTTTCTTAACCCGCTCCCCACTGCGGTCTGCGTATAACGCGCCCTACTGGGGGGGGGGGGGGAGAAGGGCTTTTCATACCCCCCGCCCCTCCTAACTCCGAAACTACTGGGCCGATTGTCAAAATTCAAACGACGTCTGATATCCCCGGAAAGTTAAAGGTCAAAGTTAAAAGTCAGGTCAAAGTTAAAGTTATCGATATTTGGCTTGTTCACATTTTGGGCTCTGGCCGCCGGCTTACGAGGCAGATCAAGCTCATTTTTGGTTTACACTTTCGTGAATAGATTTCTTTTATACCCTGACGGTACCAAACCTGTACTTTGATTTTCAGGTCAAGGTCAGGCCATCACAGTTCACGGAAATCTTATATCATGCATCGGTCACGTGACACGCATAGATGCTTTAGATGCCCTGAGGGTACCAAACCTGTACTTTGATTTTCAGGTCAAGGTCAGGTCATCACAGGTCACGAAAATCTTATTGCATGAATAGGTCACGTGACACATGTTTTATGGTCCATTTAGGCCAATGATTTCGAATTTGGTGTCGCCTGTGTCATTGGAGACCATTTTCAGCTGAATATAGCTGAGATCAGGTCACTTTCAGGTCAAAAAGGTTAAATTTTAAAGCTGAAATTTTTTAACAAAAAAGGTGTCTATCAGATGCAGTTTGCGTTTAGGAGCACGATGATGCTATTTATATTGCTGTAGGTTCGATGTCAAATACCTACGTGTGTGCTGAAAAATTGACTTCATTTTTTTATAGGTTAAGATGAATATCTAAAGATAGTAGGGCTAGCTCATGTCAGTCAGGACAGCCCATAGTCAGACTGGATTCAGCCCAGATTCGGGACACCTCAGATCGAGCTGAAACTCGCACAAAATGTAGGCCGTGACATGCCCAATCCACAGTTCTAGTCATTCAATAGAACTCCCAGCTGTTTGACCTACAGAGGTCAGCAAAGGTCACGTGGCGCAAATTTGCACAGCAGTTTATGGCCCTTGCAAGTGGAGCTAGAGCGCTAAAAACGGCACCAAACGATTCGCAAGCATCTGATCTTACTTTCCCACTAGCAGTTTGACCTTCAGGGGTCATGCGTTGATCTCAGGTCATTTGCGGGCTATGTCGAAAATACACGTGCACAGCGGTTCTCGAGTATAAGCATCGACCGAATTCCAAATCAAAGCATACCATCGGGTAGCCCATGAGACGCAGTAACTTTTCCTCGAAACCGCTTTTCGCTATGTGATTCCGTTTGACCTGGGCAGGTCAAAAGGTACGATTCTCTGACACCCACTTGTCTCAGCCCGGATTCAACCCGCAAATGACCTTAGGTCGACGCATGACCGCGGGAGGTCATATTGCAAGTTGGAAAGTAAGATTAGATGCCTGCGAGTCGTTTGGTGTCGTTTTTAGCGCTCTAGCTCCACTTGGAAGGGCCATAAACTGCTGTGCAAATTTGCGCCACGTGACCTTTGCTGCCCTAGTGTGGGTCAAACGGCTTGGAGTGCCACCGAATGACTCGGACTGTGGATTGGGCATGTCACGGCCTACATTCTGTGCGAGTTTCAGCTCGATCTGAGGTGTCCCAAATCTGGGCTGAATCCGGGCTACGACCTAGGTGGTGTCGAAGAATCATATCTTTTGACCTGCCCAGGTCAAACGGGGTCACATAGCGAGAAGCGGTTTCAAAGAAAAGCTACTACGTCTCACGGGCTACCCGATGGTATGCTTTGATTTAGAATTCGGTCGAACCTTATACTCGAGAACCGCTGTGCACGTGTATTTTCGACATAGCCCGCAAATGACCTTAGGTCAACGCATGACCGCTTGAGGTCAAATTGCTAATGGGAAAGTAAGATCAGATGCCAGCGAGTCGTTTGTTACTGTTTTTAGCGCTTTAGCTACAATTGGAAGGGCCATAAACTGCTGTGCAAATTTGGGCCACGTGACCTTTGCTGACCTCTGAAGGTCAAACGGCTCGGAGTGCCTCCGAATGACTCGGACTGTGGATTGGGCATGTCAGGACCTACATTGTGTGCGAGTTTCAGCTCGATCTGAGGTGTCCCAAATCTGGGCTGAATCCGGGCTGAAGCTGAGCTGAATATGGGCTGTCTTGATAAACATGGGCTAGCGCTGTGTTTGACACACTATAGGTACACATCTTTCCCGCTCGTATGAATAGGTATTTCAGATTCAAGTCACTCTAAGTCAGGGGTTTAGGTCGGACGTGACCTCAATTGAAAGTTTTAATGATCGGCATAGCTATACTGACTGAGTAATTGCTTTGCAGCTTTCTGCAATTCATTAGGACGAAGACATGCATTTAATCTTTATCTCAGTGTTCTTACATCGCGGTGACCTCAAATATCAGTACCGGTCAATTTTACGACCTCTATCACGAGTCATTGAGCGTGAAAATCAAACTGCGCCTTTGTTGGACAATATACATTCTTATAATATTCGCAAGACTGTTTGATATAAATGGGAAAGGCAATGGGAACGTGTTGTTTTTATGTTAAAGACTGTTTGTCGTCGTTATTGAGTTTCAGCCATCTGTTTATGCCCACATCATCACCATTATCAGCGTCGCTGTCGCCAATTTCCACCGTCACAATACACAGGTAAACAGGTAAATAATTTGTGCTTTTTGTATTACTTGATCACAGAGAAAGCTCGCTATTGTACATAGTACATACAGTATCAATGGGATTGATTACTCGTAAATGTGCACAATCGCTTTTACCTTGTGACCATCGACCGACACATATTACACTTCGCAGGCTCAAATGAAGGCGTCGCCAATTTCACGCCCAGTTCGGCGCACAATTTCTCGTCGTAGCATTTTCACACACATATCCCACACAGCCTGACAGCCTTTCCCTTGCGTCTTCGGATCGTCGAACCCTCTGCCTCGCGTCGGTTTCAGAATACCACCAGACCTACCCGTTTTAGGACCGACGCTCTCCACATGGGTCGTCACTGCGGGTAATCGGCGATGAACCTGCGCGCGCGCTCAATGGCCTCGTCGACGTAGGTGACAGCGCCGGCCACATCGGCAGCCGACAGGTCACCGAACAGGCCGCTGTCGAGGACCGAGGAGGCCAGACTGCGGGCAGAGTCGAGACTGCGCGCCTTGAACAGGTCCGTGACGGTCGGCAGGACGCTGGCGGTGAACGGCAGGCCGGGCACCGTCACCACGCCGATGATGGCCAGCACCACCACGATGCCGGCAATCATGAAGCCCGTGAAGACAAAGTCCAGACCGAACTTGTTGAGGAACGAGCTGCCGCCTGTCAAACGGAGGGAGTGAGACGTGTGAGGGAGGTTGAAAAATAGCAACAGTCGCGAAGATGGAACATTGTGCAACGATTAAAGATGGGACAATTTGGAGCGACTAAACAACGGAACAGTATGAATCAAATTTTGGAGGTGTGATTAGAAGTGCGAGGTGACTTACTTTTGATACCCCTTTTGACTTATTTTCAGCTCTTATACACTATCATCAACACTACGACTGCGGGCCGCACATACCTATGCTAAAAGGTCACATTTAGCATGACGCACGAGGCATCGTCTGTTACAGGCTCGGCATTCCCTAGACACAATAGGACTGTTTGCAGGCGCCGTGCTAACCGGCATTTGATTATGGGTTAACACTTGGCTAAAAGCAGCAGACCCATTTCAGACTACATTCACATTGATTTCACAAGAATTCACGTCATTCGCTAGGCGCGCCCCGTTGCGTTTGTTACTGTGTTACTGGCTGACGCTATTAGTAAAGTAATCTTGGCTGACGCCACATGCCCGCTCGTGTACCTTTCTTGAAGAGTCCCTTTGAGTCGCCCTCGTAGGAGTCGTAGCCCATGTGCGACTGGATGTACTGCACCACCGGCTGGGGAGCGCTGTACTGCTGGGCGGGAGTGCTGTACTGCTGGGCGGGTGCGTCGTACTGCTGAGCGGGTACCTCGTACTGCTGTGCGGGGTACTCGACCGCCGGCGGCTGGGGAAGGAGAAGTGCGCGTTACATTAAACGGTGAACTCTGCGTACACTTACAATGGTGCGCCTATAAATATACGGCTTTTAAACGTAAAGGTTTACGTTTACGGACATGCCGGGGCCACTTCAATGTATCTCTATTTTAGTTATCTTAATGACGGTTATGTGGCATGTATCATGTCGTATCGTTAGCATTTACAAGAAACAGACTAGAGTGGAGCCTGCTATGATTAGCAAACATGCCTGATAGTGGTATGCTGCATAAATTCATTACAATGATGGTTATTGTGATAAAATATGTATTTTTACTTTGACAAAGTCGCAGTTCGCTTCCAAGTTAATTAAGGTACTCACCTGGTACTCCGGCGCAGCCGGCTCGGGTGCCGTGTAACTGCCGCTGAGAGCCACTGGATTCTCCGCGGCGGCCAGACCCAGACCGAGCAGCAGGGCAGCAATCACGTGCATCGCCATCTGAAACATCATATAGAGTGATTTCATTATCTGCTGGCGCATGTATGTGTGCAATAAAAAGTCATTTTGACTTCACCTGTGACTGGGCATTGACCTGTTGTGTATTCTGACCAATGAATGTCAAAGAAATAAAACTAAACAATTATATACTAGTCGAGAGATAATCGATTTGAGCGGTTTGCTTTTGTTGCTCTAGCATGCCGCTTATCTTATTGCCTATATTATGGCTGAAATTTCTTGTCGACTTTAGCTGTGATTAAATTCTATGAATCAATCGTTACAGAGCTTCGTAAGGAACGTTAAATGCAATTTTGAACTACAGATACAATGTGCATTTGCAACTTACTGAATTCATCAAAATAATATGTTTGCTGAAGACTGAAGAGCAAGACTATAAGTTTTAGACGATGACCTTAGACGGCAATGGTATATGCGGAAATATCTTACCGTGTCCTTGGTGCTGTCACCGAACCGTCAAGATCACAAATGACAAAAATTTCCGTTCATCTCGGCACAGCGAGTACGGGCCGAGTTTGGCTCCACCCCACTTTTTTCGTTGCCATGGGAACAAAAAGTTCCCGCATGTCTCCGATCATCTGAGAAAGCCTGCAATTTGTTAGCTCGGGGCGATTCCAGCCGGAGGCGATCCACTACCTGTCCCGGCTCTGGGGAGGTGGATGGTAGCCGCTCCCTGACGCCAGATCGTACCGCGATACTGGGGCAGACCGGGGCGGGGCCAGCGGACGGAATACGCCCCGGGCGACCGAGACGAAGTGTTCATAGAGGGGTGAACGTCCGAAATGAGGTCAGTTCTGGCTCTCGCGCGCCCGTGCCCGGACCATCGGTCGCCCTCCTCCCTCTCAGGAGCGTTTTGATTCATCGGAGGTCACCAAAACTTAGGTAAGCGCAGCAACTTCCGACACAATCGAATACGAACACAGTTAGAATGAAAATGTATCAATCTAAGAGGCCTTTTATTGGCTGCATTTTTGCTTCAATGAAAGCTGAGCTCATGGTTAGCCAATGATGGCAAACTGAATTAGAAATGATCGATGGATCTAAAAATGCCTTTGTAGTCGTTAATGCCTTTCAATTTTAATGTCATGTTTAGCACTGGACTTGAGGATTATAACTGTTCTTTATACAAAATCGTGATAGCTCTTGAAGGTTTTTGAACGTCAACTTTGCGCCCTCACCTGTGAGCCGATGCCACCGCCCGTCTGACTGACCCGTCCGTTCCCCGACAGCCAACTCACCATGCTGCGCGCTGTGCTGCTGATGGCCGCGCTGGCCGCCGCTGTGCTGGCCCAGGCGCCGGGCCCCAAGCCGGAGAACCGCGACTCGAGCTACGCCAACTACGAGCCGCAGTACCAGCCGCAGTACCAGCAGTACTACCAGCCGCCCAAGTTCAGCGTCGACAAGCTGGTGAGCGGCCTGGTGCTGCCGTCCGCCTCCGACATCATCACCGGCATCATCTACGTGGTGGCGGTAGCTGGCGTTGCCGGTCTGGTGCTCATGGGTCTGGCGCTGGTGCTGAAGCTCTTCAGCCTGAAGCTGCCCATCATCAACGACCTGAAGCAGAAGGTCATCTCCAAGGTGGAGAAGGTGGACGCGCGCATGCTCGAATCGGCGTGGGAAACGCTGCTCAACTCGCTCGATAAGTTCGAGCGTAAATAGGCTGTGGTAGAGCGGCGCCAGCCCGCCTCGCCCTGTGTTATATTGATAAATTGTACCGCATATCAACCAGAGACACCTCATGTACAAAACCATGTCACGGAAGAGCGTTAAGTCGATACTCGGCATTGTCCAAACTGGCATTTGTTTGGGCATTCTATGTATGCGCACGTCGGTATTTGACGTGTGATTATGATTTACGCCGAAATCCGTGAGTAGGTAGTTACATCAATGATGTGTACATTGTTCCTGTATTCGATGCCATATTTATTTGTGAATTGTGTATGCTGTATGATTCGTGCGTTGTGCCACGAATACATTTCACCTTCCAGCACTTATGTCTTTCATTATGGAGATCGGAAATCTGCACGCGCTTCGTAATTATACGCTAGCTGCTCATGCGGTCAACCACGGATTTTTTAATTAGTCTCAGTAAATTGCTCTGGACTGTGATGATATCGAATACAATACATATATCGCTATACTACGTAGCAACAATGAGTTTTAATCACGTTCCCTATTTATATAGCACTGGGTCTGGATCACAAGGTCATAAATTACGTTGACAAAAAAATTAGCCTGTGTGGGATTCCGTAATTCAAGCTTAACCGCGGGGAAATAGTATATTTACCTAACAGCAATAATTATAACTTATTCATCCTTATCTTTAACCAAATAATGGTAACATAACATTTAAATCAATGAAGGCCGTTGAGCCCCACCAGCCCCCACCCCACAGAGCTCCTGTAATGAAAACTTTTAAATTTCCTTTAACTCGGTTCCTACCAGTGAGCTACCTAAAAATTCGTATCTTCGAAAATTCGAATTCGAAACTACCGGTGCCCATGGGGGACTTCCTAAAACTTATCGAGATTCCACATAAGATACTTGCATTTATTAATATATGCTGGCTACGACTTTTGTTTATTGTAATGGGTTGCGGCCGGCCGCTGCCCCCCCCCCCCCCCCCCTCCCCCCGGTCGTGCACGCCGGCTGCCCCGGCAGTGACCGGTCAGCTGATTTTAGCCTCGGGCGCTGAGCGAGCGGTCAGCCGGCCGAGTGGGGAAAGTGCGACGGGGCAGACGTGTGCGCCGAGTGCGCCTGTACTGAGAGAAGGTGACTGCGGTTAGTGTACTCAGTGGGAATCTAAATTTATTGTCAATAGCTAGCATGAACTTTCGTTATCAATAGCTTAGCTATTATCGGTAGGTAGTCTTTTGTTTTTATTTTTATCTTATTATTTCATTAACCCTCGTTAAACCTATTGCTATCGGTTATCTACACATGAGGGGCTGCTGGACCATTTTTTGATCCTTGGCGTTTCCTTCTTAATTGAACTAGAGCTTCACGAAAAACGAACGTGTGCGCCCTTCGATACACGACTGATGGTCTCGGTTCAACCGATGACCACCGAGTTCAGGTCAACTGCCCCAAGGAAGGGGTCGTGTTTTGGTGACTGATTTAACCCTCCCCCCCCCCCATAAAAATGATCTCAGAATGTGCACCTAAGGTTTACAAGGAAAAGTTAACCCACGCTTGTATTGGTGTTTTTCCAGCCGCTAACTGCAAAATGCCCCAACCCCAGCCGTTCGGCCACTGATCGAACTAGAGCTTGCAAAAAAAAAAAAACTAGCGTGTTTGTACTAAGAAAGAGAAAGCCCACGACAGCGAAAACGAATGGCACCCAAGTTAGGTAAAGGTTCTAGGTCAGTGGGTGACCTCCCAGGCAGACATGTGCACGGATCCGAGTGATGGATCTATGATCTCAGTGGATCTCGAAGCAAAGTACAGGCTGGGATCTATGATCCCACCGGATCCGGCGTGAAAAATACATCTTGGATCTATGATCTCATATGATCTGACGATAAATCATGGATCTATGATCTGGGTGGACCAAACCATGCACCACATTTGAAACCATGTTTTAAAGGGTTTCTATGCCAATAAGTGACACAAAACTATGGATTATGACGTGCGATCACATAAAATCACTAAAACAGAACGTTTGTGAGTTGAAACAAGTGCTTTTTTTGGATATTTGTGTTGACAAAAAATAAGTGAAGATCTATGATCTCACTGGATCTGAAGCAAAAAAATGAGGCTCGGATCTGTGATCCCTAAGGATCTCTTGATAAATTACAGAGCTGGATCTATGATCCCGTCGGATCTGAGATCAGGATCCATGGGATCAGATCCCAGATCCATTTTCTTGGATCCATGCACATGTCTGCTCCCAGGTCAGGTCAATGACCCAAAGTCGAGGAAATCGGGTTCTGCTAGAACCTTTCGCTGGGCTATTCAGATGTACAACGCGGGCTGTCGGAGGGGGGAGAGGTCATATTCTACCCCCGTCTAAGTAAGTTCCGAAAGATGACTGAAAACGGTCCTCAAAAACTCTCAATAAGACGAATTTCTGGAGCCCAAGATGTTTGCTTAAGTACCTAGGTCACAGGTCAGATCGATGTCAGGAACGTGTAAAAAAATGCAAGTTTCTACAATATTGGCTTTGGATCTCAGTTGGTGAAGAGTTGACTGAGATCTATCACCCAGAGCGCGTTCCAGGGCTACCAAGACGAGATGCAGTACATAGGATGTCATATAAAGTTCAAGGTCAAGGTCAGGTCAGGTCACCAAAGACCATCCTAAGCGAGTCTTTAACACGCGCACCGACGGGGGGCGGATATCCGCCCCCCTGAGGTTTTTCGCAAATAGCGGGAAAACCGCGGCGCTACGCGCCGCGAAATTTGGTACGACTATTCTCTCATCAATTTTACACATGGTGTGCAAGTTTGAACCTCATAACTTTTAGGGTCAGGTCACCAGGTCACTTTGAATGACCCAACCTCAAGTCACTTTTTTGCAACTTTGTCACCGTGCCAGAGCTACAGTAGATGTCGGAGGCCTTTGAAAGTCGCAGGATGTTATAAGGTCATTAGTAGCTACAAGTTTTATATCTCGGAATTTTGATATCGGTGACCTAAGATCAGGTCAATTTCGCGACCTCCCCATTATAAGTCAATGGGGGAAAATCAACTCCCCGTTTTTACCACTAAAATGGGTCGGAATGGCCCCATATACCATGCATGACTTCATATACGATCAACCTTCACTACCTTGAGGTCAGTTTTGCTGTTGGGCAGCTGTAAGGTCATGTGACGTCATCAAAGGTCACCAAAGGTTTTTTTGCCAATAACTCCGTACAGGAACAAGATACAGCCGCGCGGATGGTCTCATTGTGTTCAGCTCGTCAAGACGCATCGAATGATATACATGATGACCTCGAGGTCACGTGACCTGAGGTCAACCTTTGACCTTGACCGATCGAGGTCAATATATATATATATATATATATATATATATATATATATATATATATATATATATATATATATATATATATATATATATATATATATGTTACGGCCCATTTGAAAACCCGGCCCGTATTAATGCTGCCCGGCCCGCATTAATACTGACCGGAGACCTGGCCCGTATTAATACGGCCCCCGGTCAGCATTAATGCGGGCCGCCTGGCGGTCAGCATTAATACGGGCCGGGCAGTATTAATACAGCCCACTTTTTTCCTCACGGCCATATGAAAACTCGGGCCATATCAAAACTAGCCAACTAGTCTCTATTCCATGTCTTAGCAAATGCTGCGTATGCCTGCAGTGGTCTTAAATGTCTTATACTTTTTGACTGTTGGCTAGTAAATGTTTGTTTCGTGGTATCTGCAGCGTATAGACCCACCATACCTTGACCTTACACCATACATGACCTTGACACCCACCATAATGCATTGGTACAACATCATTTTACATGTTCCAGTGTTTAAAACCACAACAAGACTAGAAACACGCAGATAATATGAGCCAACATACGCTGAATTGCGATTCCGGCCAAACATGGTCTCGAGGATCAGGTCACAGGTCAAAGGTCATTTGGGTCAGGGTCATGAAATTTTAGAGCAGGTGTAAAATTGAATAACTCGAGGGTACTGAAAGTTTCGTCGCGATCGGCCGTTTTTTACGCGAGTTATTCGCAAAAAACGAGGGGGGTCCGTTCGACCCCCCCCCCCCTTATAAGTGCGAGGGTTAAGTGGAAATCAGTGCTAAAGTCCTCGAATTATGACATTTTCAAAATGAAGTTGCCATACTCTTTATGATCAGTAGTTATTAAGATCAGATAATGAAACAGATGCGTGATACGCTGATACTCACTGTCGGTCCTCCAGCGGTAATGGCACCGTGCTGTGCAACGCGATGCAGCACGGAACATTAGCGCCGGACGGACGGGTGTCTACCGGCCGGCCCACGCACACCGACGGGCGGGTGCCTACTGGCCCCGCGCGGAGAGTGTCCGTACACGGGAGCATAGATGGCGCGTCGAGCGGCCAGAGTTTATTATATATCTAGGGAGCGCAGCCTGAAAACAAGTTCTATGGGAAAATTGCTTTATTATTTAATACTTATCGAATATTTAGCCAGTCTTGTACACTGCCCTACCACCACGAAATCAATATTAACTAATTATTATGCGCTTTGTTATTTCGCGGAACGGCAACGCCGCAACAGCCTGTTGTTTGAACATCCGCCCGACAACGGCACGCCAGAGCAATTTTCTCAAATAACGAGTCTAATAGGGATTTTACGCCCAAGCTGTGAGTCAGGAAGGAACTAGTGATAGTGACGACCTTACACATCACTTCTGAAGATGCCCAGGCGACGAACGAGACAAGGTCCAGGTGAGACAATGGGACGAACGGTTCGCCGCCATGGTGGTACCTTTCAGACAGCGCCTCGGTGTTTTAAGGGCCCGGTTTCACCCTCTTGGATAACATTCTATCAGAACGTAAGCCATAGTAATAGAGGTCCTTGAGGGAGTGGATTACCCCCGGTCGAGGGTCTATAAAAGATCCAAGCTTGTTTGTAGAGCTCCGTCCTCGGCCAGTTCATGTCTGTCCGTGCAATGTTAGACCAGCATAGTACCTGTCCAGGTATGCCCTTGGATTAATCATGCATTCGTTTTGCACACCCACACAGCCATGTCACACTGTTTGTCTCGGGTGCGCCCTCATGGCACAGGACACAGCACACACTGTTTGACTCGATTGCACCCTCAGGTCTAGTGTGCTCGAACCCAAACACTGTCTCGCAACACCCAAATCAAGATCACATTTGACGCCTTAGCACATGTCAAACCTCGCACTCTTGGCATATTCATAGTATTTCCTTGCAATCTGTCAAACACGGTGTTCCACCTTGACGTTAGGACGTAATCATATAATGATGATAATAATAATAATAATAATAATAATAATGATAATAATAATAA